CATAGTCACGGATTCACAGTCACGGATTCACAGTCACGGATTCAGTCACGGATTCACAGTCACGGATTCACAAACAGTCACGGATTCACAGTCACGGATTCACAAACAGTCACGGATTCACAAACAGTCACGGATTCACAGTCACGGATTCACAAACAGTCATGGATTCAGTCACGGATTCACAGTCACGGATTCACAAACAGTCATAGATTCACAGTCACGGATTCACAGTCACGGATTCACAGTCACGGATTCAGTCACGGATTCACAGTCACGGATTCACAAACAGTCACGGATTCACAGTCACGGATTCACAAACAGTCATGGATTCAGTCACGGATTCACAGTCACGGATTCACAAACAGTCATGGATTCATAGTCACGGATTCACAGTCACGGATTCACAGTCACGGATTCACAAACAGTCACGGATTCACAGTCACGGATTCACAAACAGTCACGGATTCACAGTCACGGATTCAGTCACGGATTCACAGTCACGGATTCACAAACAGTCACGGATTCAGTCACGGATTCACAGTCACGGATTCACAAACAGTCACGGATTCAGTCACGGATTCACAGTCACGGATTCACAAACAGTCACGGATTCAGTCACGGATTCATAGTCACGGATTCACAGTCACGGATTCACAGTCACGGATTCACAAACAGTCACGGATTCACAGTCACGGATTCAGTCACGGATTCACAGTCACGGATTCACAAACAGTCACGGATTGAAGATTAATTAAAGCACGAAGTCACTATTTTTATGCTTTACTGTTTCTACACAATATTAATTAAGTATATATGAGTATTTATTCACAATTTTTTGAGATTTACATTTTTTCACTAAAAATGATGTATTATTGATTTAGCAATTTTATAATCACGGATATGTATTAATATTATGAATTATTGAGTTTTTTAAGTATATTAAGTGATTATTATGTCTGAATTTTGGTCAGTGGTTTTAATGTATGTTTAGTTATTCTTTTCACTTGTTTCTATATGATTATTGGGTATAGATAAGTGATTACAAGTATTAAATAATTATCAAGGAGCACATTATGGTGATATAGGTAACTACTACTAGTTACGCTCGTAGGCTGGTGCGGTGTACTCACTGCCGCTGGAGGCAATTGACCGAAGCGGCAATGCAGGAGGAAATCCTGAGGAACGGAGTTCCTTTATGACCTTCTGTGGTCACGAGTGTCTGACTGGACGCTGACGCTCCGTGTGACTCCAGCAGGCCATCTTGGGTCCAGCATAAGGACAGGATCCCCGTCTGGCAGGGACACAGCTTAGAGGTAAGAAAAGCTTCCAGAGACACGGCAGGGACTACATCCAGAGTCACGGCAGGGACTACATCCTCAGGAAGCCTCCCCTATGGTTGTGCACCAACCAGGCCGCATTCTTCACCTCGTTGCAGACACCATCGGCATCTTCAAGTCTTCAGTTCGCTGTCACCGTTCGTACTTTCCTACTCGCCGAGCCTGAACATTTCTACAATATAACTTTACTGCCTGACTCAGACTCTGTGTGATTACCGCCCCCCCCACACACCACGCTGCACCTTGCTCACATGCTGACACAATGGCCACTCATAATAGAATCTGATCTGATATGGAGAGTCTGGATTTGTGATGAAGAGTTGAGATGATGCGCAGATGAGTGTGAGGTGATCCGTGTCGAGAGTCAATGAGTGTCTGAGTGTCTCTCTCCGTAAACTTCCACTTTTATGTCCCAAAATCCCATTATCTAAGGAAAAAAAGGTGTAGTATAGGATATTCTCCAACATCTGATTGGATGGCGATTCTATTGATTACCGTAGTATTTATTTAGGTGGTGATCGTACCTGTCCATCAAGTGGCGTTCTAAGGCCAGGAATTCGTAGCTCATCCCAACCAACGGCCACCACCCCAAACTCATCTCAACCAATGGCCACCACTCCGTACTCATCCCAACCAACGGTCACCGCTCTCTACTCATCCCAACCAATGGCCACTACTCCGTACTCATCCAAACCAACGGTCACCGCTCTCTACTCATCCCAACCAATGGCCACTACTCCGTACTCATCCCAACCAACGGTCACCGCTCTCTACTCATCCCAACCAATGGCCACTACTCCGTACTCATCCAAACCAACGGTCACCGCTCTCTACTCATCCCAACCAATGGCCACTACTCCGTACTCATCCAAACCAACGGTCACCGCTCTCTACTCATCCCAACCAATGGCCACTACTCCTTACTCATCCCAACCAACGGCGCTGCTCCGTACTCATCCCAACCAAAGGCCACCACTCCGTACTCATCCCAACCAACGGTCGCCGCTCCGTACTCATCCCAACCAACGGTCGCCGCTCTCTACTCATCCCAACCAACGGTCACCGCTCTCTACTCATCCCAACCAATGGCCACTACTCCGTACTCATCCAAACCAACGGTCACCGCTCTCTACTCATCCCAACCAATGGCCACTACTCCATACTCATCCAAACCAACGGTCACCGCTCTCTACTCATCCCAACCAATGGCCACTACTCCGTACTCATCCCAACCAACGGCCGCCACTCTCTACTCATCCCAACCAACGGTCGCCGCTCTCTACTCATCCCAACCAACGGCCGCCACTCCGTACTCATCCCAACCAACGGCCACCACTCCGTACTCATCCCAACCAACGGCCACTACTCCGTACTCATCCCAACCAATGGCCACCACTCCGTACTCATCCCAACCAACGGCCACTACTCCGTACTCATCCCAACCAACGGTCGCCGCTCTCTACTCATCCCAACCAACGGCCACCGCTCGTACTCCTCCCAACCAACGGCCACCGCTCCGTACTTATCCCAACCAACGGCCACTACTCCGTACTCATCCCAACCAACAGTCGCCGTTCTCTACTCATCCCAACTAACGGTCGCCGCTCCGTACTCCTCCCAACCAACGGCCGCCGCTCCCTACTCCTCCCAACCATTGGCCGCCGCTCCCTACTCCTCCCAACCAATGGTCGCCGCTCCCTACTCCTCCCAACCAATGGTCGCCGCTCCCTACTCCTCCCAACCAATGGCCCCTACTCCGTACTCCTCCCAACCAATGGCCACCACTCCGTATTCATCTCCCGACACCTGACCTCAGTTCTGTCCTGACTGGGCTCCTGGTCTTCCCTCTACCAGTTTACCTGCCGTCTACCACAGGTACCACCTCCCTCCTGTCGCCGTGCCAGACCCGCATCACCATCTGGGGGTTCACAGATACCGACCCCATTCCTCTACATTCAGAGAGGAGCACAGATACCGACCCCACTCCTCTACATCCAGAGGGGCGCACAGATACCGACCCCACTCCTCTACATTCAGAGGGGCGCACAGATACCGACCCCACTCCTCTACATTCAGGGGGAGCACAGATACCGACCCCACTCCTCTACATTCAGAGGGGCGCACAGATACCGACCCCACTCCTCTACATTCAGAGGGGAGCACAGATACCGACCCCACTCCTCTACATTCAGAGGGGAGCACAGATACCGACCCCACTCCTCTACATTCAGAGGGGAGCACAGATACCGACCCCACTCCTCTACATTCAGAGGGGCGCACAGATACCGACCCCACTCCTCTACATTCAGAGGGGTTCACAGATACCGACCCCACTCCTCTACATTCAGAGGTTCACAGATACCGACCTCATTCCTCTACATTCAGAGGGGTTCACAGATACCGACCCCATTCCTCTACATTCAGAGGGGTGCACAGATACCGACCCCACTCCTCTACATTCAGAGGGAGCACAGATACCGACCCCACTCCTCTACATTCAGAGGGGAGCACAGAGACCGACCCCACTCCTCTACATTCAGAGGGGAGCACAGATACCGACCCACTCCTCTACATTCAGAGGGGAGCACAGAGACCGACCCCACTCCTCTACATTCAGGGGGGAGCACAGATACCGACCCCACTCCTCTACATTCAGGGGGAGCACAGATACCGACCTCATTCCTCTACATTCAGGGGAGCACAGATACCGACCCCACTCCTCTACATTCAGGGGGAGCACAGATACCGACCTCATTCCTCTACATTCAGGGGAGCACAGATACCGACCCCACTCCTCTACATTCAGAGGGAGCACAGATACCGACCTCATTCCTCTACATTCAGAGGGGAGCACAGATACCGACCCCATTCCTCTACATTCAGAGGGGAGCACAGATACGACCCCACTCCTCTACATTCAGAGGGAGCACAGATACCGACCTCATTCCTCTACATTCAGAGGGAGCACAGATACCGACCCCATTCCTCTACATTCAGAGGGGAGCACAGATACCGACCCCACTCCTCTACATTCAGAGGGAGCACAGATACCGACCCCACTCCTCTACATTCAGAGGGAGCACAGATACCGACCTCATTCCTCTACATTCAGAGGGGAGCACAGATACCGACCCCATTCCTCTACATTCAGAGGGGAGCACAGATACCGACCTCATTCCTCTACATTCAGAGAGGCGCACAGATCCCGACCCCATTCCTCTACATTCAGAGGGGAGCACAGATACCGACCCCATTCCTCTACATTCAGAGGGGTTCACAGATACCGACCTCATACCTCTACATTCAGAGGGGCGCACAGATACCGACCTCATTCCTCTACATTCAGGGGGAGCACAGATACCGACCTCATTCCTCTACATTCAGAGGGGAGCACAGATACCGACCTCATTCCTCTACATTCAGAGAGGCGCACAGATACCGACCGACCCCATTCCTCTACATTCAGAGGGGAGCACAGATACCAACCACTGGATTGTCATAATTTATTATTACAATTTTTAAAGTGATTATAGATACAAAATAGATAGAAGATGAAGACAAACAGTGCGGAGCTCTGGAGGTGAGGAACATGATGGAGGAGGTCGCGCCTCCAGAGGTGAGGAACATGATGGAGGAGGTCGAGCCTCCGAAGGTGAGGAACATGATGGAGGAGGTTGAGCCTCCGGAGGTGAGGAACATGATGGAGGAGGTCGAGCCTCCGGAGGTGAGGAACATGATGGAGGAGGTCGAGCCTCCGGAGGTGAGGAACATGATGGAGGAGGTCAAGCCTACGGCGGTGAGGAACATGATGGAGGAGGTCGAGCCTACGGAGGTGAGGAACATAATGGAGGAGGTCGAGTCTCTGGAGGTGAGGAACATTATGGAGGTCGAACCTCCGGAGGAGAGGAACATGATGGAGGAGATCGCATCTCCGGAGGTGAGGAACATGATGGAGGTCGCTCCTCACACCTCCCCAGACAATTCCATCCTTACAGGAATTTCCGATCGCTATGTCCACCATTTTCACAAATCAGCCTTCATGATCTGTTAGAAAAAAAAAATCGTTGTTACCAGAGTGATCAGCTGATCGCCCATCTGATTGACTTCTGCAGGTCTCCACCATGAAATGAAGGTCAATTCTCCTGCAGAAAGTGGACATTGCTGTCCCTGAAAGCACTGCTCCAAGAACCAGGATTAATATTTTAAGTTGAGCCCAGGAACAATATCTGAGGGCAGACCCAGGAACCGGGACGAGTATCTGAGGGCAGACCCAGGAACCGGGACGAGTATCTGAGGGCAGACCCAGGAACCGGGACGAGTATCTGAGGGCAGACCCAGGAACCGGGACGAGTATCTGAGGGCAGACCCAGGAACCGGGACGAGTATCTGAGGGCAGACCCAGGAACCGGGACGAGTATCTGAGGGCAGACCCAGGAACCGGGACGAGTATCTGAGGGCAGACCCAGGAACCGGGATCAGTTTCTGAGGCCAGACCCAGGAACCGGGACGAGTATCTGAGGCCAGACCCAGGAACCGGGACGAGTATCTGAGGGCAGACCCAGGAACCGGGACGAGTATCTGAGGGCAGACCCAGGAACCGGGATCAGTTTCTGAGGGCAGACCCAGAAGTATCAGTTTCTGACCCAGGCGGGGACGAGGCCAGACCCTTTGGAATGTATCTGATCAGGAACCGGGACTTCCTGGGCCCGGCTTTGGATACTGATCCCGCTTCCTGGGCCCGGCTTTCAGATACTGATCCCGCTTCCTGGGCCGGCCTCAGATACTGATCCCGCTTCCTGGGCCAGGCCTCAGATACTGATCCCGCTTCCTGGGCCAGGCCTCAGATACTGATCCCGCTTCCTGGGCCAGGCCTCAGATACTGATCCCGCTTCCTGGGCCAGGCCTCAGATACTGATCCCGCTTCCTGGGCCAGGCCTCAGATACTGATCCCGCTTCCTGGGCCAGGCCTCAGATACTGATCCCGCTTCCTGGGCCAGGCCTCAGATACTGATCCCGCTTCCTGGGCCAGGCCTCAGATACTGATCCCGCTTCCTGGGCCAGGCCTCAGATACTGATCCCGCTTCCTGGGCCAGGCCTCAGATACTGATCCCGCTTCCTGGGCCAGGCCTCAGATACTGATCCCGCTTCCTGGGCCAGGCCTCAGATGCAGATCCAGCTTCCTGGGCCTTGCCTCAGATACTGATCCAGCTTCCTGGGCCATGCCTCAAATACTGATCCAACTTCGGGGGGCCACACCTCAGATGCTGATCCCGCTTCCTGGGCCACGCCTCAGATGCTGATCTCACTTGCTGGGGCTGGCCTCAGATACAGATCCTGTTTCCTGGGCCCACCCTCCGATACTGACCTTGCTTTCTGGCCTGGCCTTGGATATTGAACCCACTTTCTGGGCCAGGGCTTAGATGCTGGGCAGGTTTGCACATTGTGTGGGTGGACACTGGGAAGGATGAAGTAGAGGAAGGGGTAGGGGTATTGGGCAAATGGTAGGTTTTGTTATTTTAAAATGAGTCTGTCCAGGCTGCCATTGTTGGAGCTCTTTTGAAAATGCTAGCTGCCTGGCTGTGTCCAAGCTGGGTGATTTATCCTTGTTCCAGGGCAGAAATAATTGAAGCCAGAACACCGGCATGACAGTCAGGGTCGGCAGTAGTTGCCTCCATGCTGACAGGGTCACGTTATCTCATGGTATTGGTCTTGTAACATGTCTGTCACCTTGATACAGGGGTTGCGGTTGGAAAGATTTCCTATAATTTCCTGTGCAGACAGTTCTCCACCAGAGACAGACACCACAAATGACTGACAGAGGCTCCAACCTCTCTCCATCCTACACAAAATTAAGGCTAAGTCACCCCCATATTGAAGTATTTATTTATGAGTGGGCTTCATCCTTCAATAAATAACATCTCCTGACTCCATCAGAGAGTTGTACACAAGGTCTCCAGGGATTGGGTTTCATCTAGTTGTGTCCAGTGGAACCGTCTGCTCTGATGAGCCAACTGGAATATCAAAGGTGGGAAAGATGAAGGAGATGGAGGAGAAACATGACAGACAAAACAGGACAATGGCATTTCACACCCCCACTTACCTTCATCCGGGTCTGTCCTCTCAGCCTCTGCCGAACTCTCTGGTAAGACCGATGTTGCCTCAGACGCGGCAGTTATGTTTTCTGATTCTTGAACAGAAGGTGGAGCCTCTTCTAACGGATTGGTCAAGGTGGCAGACTCTGGGGGAGTCTCAGAATCCTCTGCCATAGCCGGTTCTCCAACCACTGCAAGGAGAAGAGACATACTAAGAGATATGGGTCATCTCTAGGGTCACATGACTCAGAACCCTCTGCCATAGCCACTCTCCAACCCAAGCAAGGAGAAGAATAATACTGAGAGATATGGGTCATCTCTAATGTCAGATGACTTGGAACCCTCTGCCACAGCTGACTCCAACCAACGCAAGGAGAAAAGAAATACTGAGAGATATGGGTCATCTCTGATGTCAGATGACTTGGAACCCTCTGCCACAGCTGACTCCAACCCAAGCAAGGAGAAGAATAATACTGAGAGATATGGGTCATCTCTAATGTCAGATGACTTGGAACCCTCTGCCACAGCTGACTCCAACCCAAGCAAGGAGAAGAATAATACTGAGAGATATGGGTCATCTCTGATGTCAGATGACTTGGAACCCTCTGCCACAGCTGACTCCAACCCAAGCAAGGAGAAGAATAATACTGAGAGATATGGGTCATCTCTGATGTCAGATGACTTGGAACCCTCTGCCACAGCTGACTCCAACCAACGCAAGGAGAAAAGAAATCATGGGCTGAAGTCAGATAACTCAGCCCTCAGCCCACTAACTCTCCAACAACTGCAAGAAGAGACATACTACTGAGATATGGGTCCATCTCTGAGGTCATATGACTTGGAACCCTCTGCCACAGCTGACTCTTTAACCCCAGAAAAGAGAAGAGACATACTGAGAGATATGGGTCCATCTCTGAGATCAGACTATTCAGAGACCTCTGCCATAGCTGACTCTCCAACCACTGCAAGAAGAAGAGACATACTGAGAGATATGGGTCATCTATCAAGTCAGATGACTTGGAACCCTCTGTCATAGCCGGCTCTCTAACCACTGCAAGGAGAAGAGACATACTGAGAGAAATGGGCCATCATGAAGTCAGATGACTTGGAACCCTCTGGCACAGTAAACTCTCCAACCCCAGCATGGAGAAGAGACATACTGAGAGATATGCAAGTCTACAATCCAAACACACATTTCTGCGTTACAAATGGCGGTGTGTATAAGTGGGTGCTGCAGCGACCGTCAGCTGGAACCAAACAGAATCAGCTAGGGAGAAGATCACCAGCATATGACGTCACATGCCTGGTGAAGGGGTCCTGTGAGACTCCGAAACGCTGCCTTGCTGTAACTATGTGATCGTTGATTAAAACCTTTGGACCCATATTGGTGATCCTCGGTGTGCTGGTGACATTCTCCCATACTGAGAGATATGAGTCACTTATGAAGTCAGATAACTGAGGACTCTCAGCCACAGCGGACTCTCCGACCACTGCAAGAAGAAGAGACATACTGAGAGATATGGGTACATCTCTGAAGTCATGACTTGGAACCCTCAAGCCACAGCTCACTCTCCATCCATTGCAAGAAGAAGAGACATACTGAGAGATATGGGCCATCATGAAGTCAGACAACTCAGGACTTTCAGCCACAGCTGACTCTCCAAGCACTGCAAGAAGAAGAGACATACTGAGAGATATGGGCCATCATGAAGTCAGACAACTCAGGACTTTCAGCCACAGCTGACTCTCCAAGCACTGCAAGAAGAAGAGACATACTGAGAGATATGGGCCATCATGAAGTCAGATGACTTGGAACCCTCTGCCACAGTAAACTCTCCAACCCCAGCAAGAAGAAAAGACATACTGAGAGATATGGGTACATCTCTGAAGTCATATGACTTGGAACCCTCAACCACAGCTCACTCTCCATCCATTGCAAGAAGAAGAGACATACTGAGAGATATGGGCCATCATGAAGTCAGATAACTCAGGACTTTCAGCCACAGCTGACTCTGTAACCCCAGCAAGGAAAAGAGACATACTGAGAGATATGGACCATCATGACGTCAGATGACTTGGAACCCTCTGCCACAGTAAACTCTCCAACCCCAGCAAGAAGAAGAGACATACTGAGAGATATGGGTACATCTCTGAAGTCATATGACTTGGAACCCTCAACCACAGCTCACTCTCCATCCATTGCAAGAAGAAGAGACATACTGAGAGATATGGGCCATCATGAAGTCAGATAACTCAGGACTTTCAGCCACAGCTGACTCTGTAACCCCAGCAAGGAAAAGAGACATACTGAGAGATATGGACCATCATGACGTCAGATGACTTGGAACCCTCTGCCACAGTAAACTCTCCAAGCCCAGCAAGGAGAAGATACATACTGTGAGATATGGGTCATCTATGAAGTAAGATGACTTGGAACCCTCAGCCATAGCTGGCTCTGTAACCACTGCAAGGAAAAGAGACATACTGAGAGATATGGGTCCATCTCTGAAGTCAGATGACTTGGAACCCTCAGCCATAGCTGGCTCTGTAACCACTGCAAGGAAAAGAGACATACTGAGAGATATGGTTACATCTCTGAAGTCAGATGACTTGGAACCCTCTGCCACAGTAAACTCTCCAACCCCAGAAAGGAGAAGAGAGATACTGATAGACATGGGCCATCTCTGAGGTCAGACGACTCTCAGGCCAGCCATAGCCATAGCTGGCTTTCCAACCACAACAAGAGGAAGATACATACCGAGAGATACTCCCTGAGGGCAGATGACTCCATCACAATTTTTACAATGGAAGGGAGAATTGAACGGATCACTATAACTTTGATCTAACCATTGTACGTTTTATGA